TTTTAGTCATTGTGACTCTTTTAATTGCAGCAGCACTTTCATCCTGTCTCTTGCTTTTACCCTGTGTTCTCACTCACAGAAAACCGACCTTGTAAGCCAGTATGTTTTCTTTACTTAGGCCAAGTGCTGACAACATCTGCAGAAATTTGGGTTTGGGTGTTGAACGTGGAAAAAAAAAATTGACAGGTGAAGTAAAATTTATACCAGTTGCAAAACATTTTGTTACAGAAACAGCAGAGAACTAGTTGGGAAATGAGGGGAAAATAAGAGAAATTAGAGTGGGCATCTGCTGCCATCTCCCCAGGACATCTGAATACAGGATTTCTTGTACACAATTGTTTGTCTGTTTTGTTATCCTGCCTGGAACGGCAGCCAGTATCGAGTGCTTGAAATGAAGGGGTAAGAAGCTCTGAAGTGATGTTTACAGAATAACCTTCCCATCAGGGGAGTTTCTCTCTAACCCAGACATTTTGTAGCTGTTTTATATCCTGAAGCATGAAAAAGGATTGCAGCAGTGAAAAAGGATTAGATTTTAGGAGGGATTTTCACTCAGATCTGAGAGTAAAAAGAAAACCCCTGTATTGGAAATAGGAAACTGGCAGGGAAAACAAAACACTGCTAGCAAGTAAGGTGAGTTACTGCCCCAGAAAGGGTTAAAAAACCAAAAGGACATAATTTTACAGGAAAATTAGTGCACATAAAGTAACTTTAATCAAGTCAGCTATTGGAAATGGGATTAAAAAAAATCTACTTAATGACTGCTTTTCTTTGAATATTTATTTTTCAAAGAAAGACTAGAGAACTACAAGGGAATGAAAATGTTAACATGACAGCTCAGACTGGCATAAAGGACTAGTTAGATAAACAGCACAAGGAAAGTCCAGCAAAGCTAAATGAAGCTTGTCCTATTGGGGTGTAGGAATCAATGGCAAACTCAAGGATTTAGTTATTTTTGAAGTATCTTGACAAACTAGGGAGGGTGCCAGAGGACTGAGGAAGAGCAAACACAGCGCTGGTCTTTTGAGGTGAGAGCAGGGAGGCAGCAGTGGTCTTGGCAAATATCACTCTTCCAGAGTTACTTCTGTTCTTGGCAATGTGATGGAATAAACAGAGATGGGGGGAAAAAGTAAGAATACAAAGGATAAGAGATCTGTGAGCAATAGGCAGCAGTATGTATGTTTATAGAGAATAAATCACATAAAAATAAATCTGATTACTTTCTTTTGCTCTAATTTACAAAATTAATGAAGAGAATACCTCAAACATAATCTAGATATGGACGCTGGCAAAACTTTCGATATGCTGCATTTTAAAACATTACATGGAAAACGAACCACTATTAGCTTGAATGTGAGTGCAGCTACATCGGTTAAGAAAACCCCAAACACCTTTGTGAAAAAGAAACAAAAACCGAAAACCAAAATCAAACCAAACCCCAAACAAGAAAAACCCTCTCCCAACTCCCACCCATAACCAAACAAAAAAAAAAAAAAAAAAAAAAAAAAAAAAAAATAATGAACAAAACCCCGAAACAAACAAACAACACCCAAAAAAACCCCAAACAAAAAAAAACCCGGGAAACAAACAAACAAACAAAAAAACCCACCAAACCAAACCGACGATTAAAAAAACCCATTCAAAACCCCCTGAAGACGCATCACGAAAGCTGAGAAATAAAACGGAATGTTACACAAAACTGGATGGTAGTAGGTTCACTCTTAGCTTTATTCCGATGGCTGTTGGTGATGTGTAAATCGGCATGATGGGAAAAGAGATACAAGCTTTAAGGAGAGGAGAGAAACACCGTAAGTTTAATTTAGGATGCACACAACTAGCGTGGCAGCAACGAAATGGAGGAGTTTGGGTACCAAGTTTAATTGTTCTCCATTAAAAATAAAATACGGTAACCAAGGATCTAAAGGTTACGTATATGGCAAGGGCTGCCCCGCTGGCAGGTAAGGGCTCAGTAAGGGCTCCGCTGGCGGCACCAGCCACAGTGTAAACACAGAGCGAAGCGCGGAGCCCGGCGGCAGCCCTCGCT